GATGAGCCATATAACAGCAGTGAATATATCATATCGCAAGCCCCTGCCAACCATGCATGACTACTATTTGCTTCTCCTCAGGCGGTAAACAAAGTTTTCAGCTGACCTACTGTTTAGGAGAAGTGCACTGAAACAGAGATAAGCAATGTCGCTCGTAATGCTGTAGTGGAATAAAATCTGGCATAAATTTGCCTAGAAAGTAGAAGGAATGCATGAAATATTATTTCTTAGTTCACATACGACTTTCCTGCCAGCACGACATGTAATATTGCATCGCTAATAAAAGGGAGTTTATTCCTGCTTCTGGAAGAGAGCACCACTTGAACGGCATTGCAGCAGGGAAGGGGTTTGTGTTCTGCTCGGGCGGCTAGCACAACGTATATCATCTGAATATCAAATTATTGAAGGTAAAACATGAATTAAATATTTGAAAATGAAGACCAGAAGGAGCACGAGAGGTTTAAGAAGTGCCCCGTGCAGTATTGAAATGCCCCGGGGTTCCTGCTGAGCTCAGCAGCTCTCCGAGCAGCCCTTCCCTAGCTCAGGTTCAGAGGTTTAACGTCGAGGGAGAAAGGCACATCTGGGTTCCCAGGGCAGATCTCCACATCACCTACGGTTACAAATGGGCTGCTAGGGGGTTTGTATATTGGTATAACACACCTCGGACTAATCCAGTGCCTAATGGGAACGTTGTGCATGGCAGCTGGTTGTTTGTTTGTCCGCCTGCTCCTAGCCTCTCTCTTACCCTATTTATATACGCACACATGCAAAAAATATGAGAGTTAAAGAAAAATGTCAACCATATGTAACATACATGGAGATTAGTGACAGTAACAGTGAATTCATTGTGGTTTTGGCAGTCAGGACACCATACAGGCCATATTTTAGAGTTTTAGACAAATCCACATGTATTCCAGAGATTGCTGTGGATTTTCAATATGTGTGGCTCATTAGATACGCAATCTGCCTGCTATTCTCTCCTGTCACACAAAGCTGATGGCAGCAAACTGGCATCTTGGAGATGTTGGTAGCGCTACAGATTTTAGCATTAATGCCAGACTTGGGCATCCTGGAGCTGTGCGCTCTTCTGCGGTGCGAGGGGTGTGTGCCCACGACGCCTCCCGTTGGGGGGATTGCTGACAAGTAGGCAGGAGAGGGCTGGTGTTGGTGCTTTCAAGCAAAATACAACAATTAAAGTTCAGCTTCTGTCCCTGCTCACTGGTCTTAAAGAAATTGTAAGCAGCTAGCCAGCCCTAAGCTCAATTTTTTCTGAGTCTGTTGTGTCACCAAAGCAGAATGAAAAGTTACAGCTTTGTGTATTGTTTTTCTTGTGTCACAGCTTTAAAATTCTTTGTTGGAGGGTTATAAATAAGCATACGAGATAAACTCTTCTCAGATTCCTAATTTTCCATTTAAATCTTAGCAGCTCCATATCCCTGTGAATATGTCTGTATAGAGCAATTGCTACCAGCAAAAATCTAATAATCACATATAAAATATACACGAGGCAAGAGTTAATTTTATATAAAAGTATCAAACTCTCGCTTAAAACTGTTTGAGTTCAAGCAAGGCTACGCTGAATGCGGGGCCGAGTGCTTAAATATAGGTGAAGGAAATTCTGGTCTGCTAATTTCAGCAGAATGTTTAAAACAAAGTGTTACTGTTTAATCTGGGCACATGATGGGTGAATGAATGTTTGAATGAAATGACATAATTGTTGGTTAGCCTGTATAATTTGGAGAGCGTTCGCACAAGTTTAACTCTCTCTGGATGCAGGGCATCCTCAATGCGGGTACGGGAGTGCCTTCCCTAAAGGCAGGGTATGGTGAAATCCCGTCTCCCATTGCATTTAACAACCTTTTGAGCAATGGGCTGCGGCCGAGGCTGGCTTAGCAGCGCGCTTCAGTTCAAGAGTGTTATCCTTAACCCCTCTCCTCACGTTGTATATGATATTTAATGCGTCATCTTTGTTTTAAACAAACAATACACAAGCTGTTGCTGGCAGTGGTGGGAAGCTGGTGGTCCATCTGGAAAGCAGGGAGATAGATGAGGGGGGAAAAGAGAATGAAAACTGTTTAGGGGTGTATTTGCATGTGTAAAACCCTGGAATGGGAGCAGAGTATTTAGTAGCTTTTTAAAAAGCAGTTTGAAGACAGGGAAGATTCTTTGTCTGTGGAGGAGTCTATCAATAATAGACATTATTTGCTTAATACAAATGTGGATTTTGATTAAAAAAAAAAAAAAAAAAAAAGCTCTGGGCCCCATACCTTTAAAAAAGTTGTTTATTCATTATTTCTGCTGTATTAAATCCGTTCACTCTAAAATTAACCATTTTTCCCTGACAAAAGTTCAGAATGGTATAAAATTAACCAATAATATAGCTTATTAATTAAACCAGTGGCAAAATAGCTATTTCAGCTTAACTGTCTCCACAGGATGGTTACAAGTCGGGTTTCTGGCTGATTGCTTCTGTCATTCCCAAAGACGGAGCACCCCACCTCAGTTTACCACTGCCCAGCGTGCATCCAATATGCCATTTAAAACCTTGATTATAACCAGAGAGAGTTCATTGAAACCAGAATAAGTTACAAAATAATTAATCTTCCCTGCCATCTTGGATCCCCTCTCTCCAGCATCCAGCCAGATGTTTCGTATTCGCTGTACGCACGGCGCGCTGTAATCCTGGTATTTACACAGCTCGCGTTTTTTCCTCCGTCATTAGCACTCTGCTTCGAGGTTACACATTTTGCCTTTGCTTAGGAGATCACAGTCGCTGCTAAATGGTTCCTGGAGGACAGGTCAGCGCGGTATGAATGGCTCTTTCAGCGCAAGTATATTTACAAATTAAACTCCTTTTTGCATGCAGCAGAGTTTTGCTGCTGCGCTCAGGGTCGGGCTGAGCAGTGGACAGGCATCGGGGCTCTGCACCGAGCTTTCCCTGCAGCAGCGAGGAGCCTCCCCTCCATTTCGGTGCTGCCAGGCCTGGAGATGATCTATCGAGCAGGTGTTTGTAATTTAGGGTTCACTGCTGTTCCTGTGGAAATCAGTGGAAAAAAGGGACGGCGACGGTTGAGAACAAAGTGAAAAGGCAGCACGAACAAGGCTGGCATTATCCGCGCGGCTTCCAGCCCTAGATGCGCTGTGAGCCTGCGCTGTGCGTTTTGTAGAGAGCTGCATCTTCCACTGTTGAAAAGGACTTCAGTAAATGAACAGGCAAAAGACCTGAGCGAGGAAGTTTGAAAAAAAAAAAATATATATATATATATATATAAAACCTAATTGGGGCTCAGCGAGCAATCTGACATTGCTGCAAATCCTGCTCAGAAATATATGTGCTCTGCTTTAATGACAGCACATAGAGTACTGCTGAGATAGTGGAAAATTTTACAGGGAGTTTTGCTTAAGGAATGGCTTTAACTCAAGTTACCTGTAGAGTACAGTGTCATATGGAAACACTTAGGGAGCTGTGGAAAACTTTCTGAAATACAGTGGAATTTATCTAGCAAAGCATTTCGCGTACGAGGAAGGAATATGGATTACAATGGAGTCAGTAAGGAGCGGGCTGCTGAGGCTTGGAGGAGGCCGCTCGCAGCACTGCTGCTGCAGATGAAAAGTACATATGTAACCGGGGGGGGACTCCGGCATGTCCACGTCTGGTATACATTTATACTATTTGCCATGCACGTAACCTTGTTATATAAAACAGAGCCCAATAACCTCAAAAAGACGGACGGTAAAAGAAAGAAAGGTGCAGGGAAGCGGATCTGCTCCCAGCCTTGCAGGCCCGGGAGCGGAGGGGCCCGTGCTGCCCGCAACACCCGGGGGTGAGGGCCTGACCTGCAGCTTGGGCCCAGGGGGGTTGGGGTGCGAAGCTGTGAGGAATGAAGCTGGGGAAGGAGCTTAAAAAGACAAAAAGGGGCAGCTTTGGCTGGAAACAGAGCGAACGAAGAGCCGCTTGGCCGTGAGGCGCGGTGCGCTGGGTGCACAGGCCCCGCAGCGCCCTGAGGGGCCCCAGCAGGCCGGGGGGAGAAGGCTGGGGGGAGAGCGAGGGTTTTTCGAGTGTGTTTCGTTAGATATTTGCTCCCTAAATGCTCATGGCACTGGTCGCCAGAGCATCTGGGCACTTCACAATAATTAAAACTGACAAATCCATAAACAGTAAACAACAGGCTACCCACTCGGGCAGCCAAAAACCCACTACTGCATAAGCTCAATAGCTGCACCCATCTGCCAAATAAAGCCCTCGCCGCCGCCTCTCGCCCACGAGGGCCAGGGCAGAGCCAGTGCCTTCCCCGCCAGTGACCCCCTTGCCCGCTTCCCCGCTCACGCCTGGGCAGGGTTCGGGAGGGTAAGGGCTTTATTTTTAGTTTTATTTCATTTTTTTCCCACCGCAAAGTGGCAACAAGTACCGACACCCTTTTCCCTCTGACTTCTTGGCCTGCTAACCCTTTCGCAACACAATGGGAAGGCAACCGCTTGCACCCAGGGGAGGGAATTTAATGACTGGAAAATAGAGAGAGAGAATTTACTTGGAAAAACTGTGGAATTAAAGTTCTGGACAAAAACATGCATCACTGATGCATAACACTTTTGTTAATTGGGTCTTAACAGGTTTGTGACTCAGGCTGTAATTATTTTAGAAATGGGTCACACCAGGCAGCGCCAGCGGAGCGTCCTGAGGTGTAAAGCTGCGGCCGGGCGCGTGTGGCTCGGCCCCGTGGCCTCCCAGCCCCGCTTTCCCCCGAACGAGGCTCCCCGTGGGCTCTGCCGGCCTGGTGGAGGTGTTTGTCCGGCTCCGTTCCCGTTCCCGGCGCGGGGCCCTCCTGCAGATCTCCGTGTCACGTGCTGGCCGCGCGATGCCAAGCGCGCTCGCCGCTTCTCCTGTGCTATTGTTTTCACTCCTGATTTTTTCATGTGTTTTCCTGACCTGCCAGAGGCACTAAATCTTGCTAATGCCTCCCCTGCACTCTAGTCGCAGAATGGGCTGCGTGAAGTTTTTCTTTTTTTTTTTGACTAAAGCGAGATTAATTAAAATATAAAAACGCACCCGGCTGTGGTAAATCATTTCTTCTTTTTACTAAACAATTGCTCTCTGCTAAATCCACCTCTGCTTTCCTCTGCAGAAGTATCTCCACGCAAGCAAAAGTCTTCTAATGCTCGTAAAGCAACCGAGATATTATCTCTCTAATTAGCAGCTGGAAAAAAAAAAAAAAAAAAAAAAAAAAAAAAAAAAGAGAGATCAGTTAATGGTATAATTAAAAACAGTGCCTTTAGATCTGTTGTTTGTGGTGAACGAACGCGGCTGTTACGCTGATCGCTGATGGGATGTGCTGGTTTTTCCCCCAAAAAGCTTGGAGCAGCACTTGTGCAGTGGGGCTGGGGAGCCTGGTCTCAGGCGGCAGCAGGAGCAGGGACCCCGAAATGTTCCCAGCAGCGTGGCCCACGCCTCCTTCGTGTGGCTCTGGGGAGGTGTTGGGGTCTTGCAGCCGGGCGAGGGGCTCGGCGCGGTTCTGCAGCTCTCGTTTGGCCCTTCCCTGTGCCGGGGTAAGCTGTTTTTCATATATTGTAGCCTGGGAAAGCTGTGTTACTGTTAAAAGAGTAACCATATCCCTTTCTGAGCTGTTGCCAAGCAGATGTAGGGTTTTGGAAAGTTCCCAACAAACTTCCACAGCTGATACTTTACTGACTTGTTCTTTCTCCCTTCCCTCTACTTGCACCTATTTAAATAACCAAAGGACATAATTTGGGGGAGGGAGCGTTGCTCTGCATCTTCTACTTGTTAAATATAATTAATTGAGAGTGACCAGTTAGTCAATTACAGTGTACAGCTTGCAAAAGAAACGCAGAAATATCAAATATTACTGTTTTACCAAAAAGCTCCCTCTTCTGCGCTGAATGCTTTCTTGGAAGAACCAGCCGAGTAATGAGGAAAATTGAGCCCCTTCAGCCCTTTGTGCGATACGGGGCTGCTTCTGCCTCTTGCCAGGGCAAATATCTCATTTACTTTCTTAATGGCAGGGCTAATAATTTGGGAGGTGGCTGTGAAGGAGGAAGAAATAACAGCTTTTAAAAGCCAGCGTCGATAGGAAAGCCGGTGTAAATGCAAATCTCCCTTGTGTGTGTGAGTGTGCGCGGGGAGGAAAACGGGGCACTTGAAATGTGGAAAGCTCTGGCAAATCATATATCACAGGAAAGGTTTACAGGAGTTCAGAATATAGCGAGGGGTATAGATGTCAGGTTTTCTTACACAATAGAGGGTCTTTTGTTTCCGCGCTCCCTCTTGGCAGGAGCCTCCGTGCCACTGCTGGCAATTTCCTGTCCATCTTTCACCGCGCAGCAGAGCCGGAGCAGGGGAGTAGTCCCACGTTTTTGTTTAGACTATTTTTTTTAATGCTAAGCCTTGTCCTAAGCAGGATATCCCTGTGTATGTTTGGAGTTCCTGAACTTCTCTGCAGAAAATTATCCTTAAAAAGCCCCTTCCATAACACCCAGTCTCTAACTTCTCTCTGAAAAAAAAAATAATAATAAAAACAGCCCTCGTTTAATTGCTTTTGCTTGTGAGAGCTTGTACCTCACTGCTTAATCCGCCTGCGTCTCAAATGCTTGGTTTTGAAGAGGAAAACCAAAAAGCGGGGACTCTCCAGCGGTGCCCCTGCTGCCGGAGGACCGGGTGCAGGACTCCGTCCCTCGGGCTCTGCGTCTGACAGGTTTTGGGTCTGTCCCTGGTCCCCAACCCTGCTCTCCAAAGCACTCCCCATGCACACTCGTGAGTTGAGCAGGCTCGAGGGCCCCGTGACAGTGGTGTCTGGCTGCAGTCAGGGCTGTATGGTTCTCAGACGCTCTCAAAGCTCACGGGCCAGCAGCTCTCTTTTATAATTACTTTTTTTTTTTTTTTCTGGCTCTCCCAAATGATCTCCTCAGATGGCCCCGTCTGTATTTGTTGACATCACGCAGTGAATCCAAAGTAAAACTAAAACCAGGGCACGGTTTTTAGCTCGCACAGGGTTTTAGCTCAAACTGCAGGCTCGACAGGCCCAGCAGTGGAGCTAAATACAGAAAAATATACCTGTGAAATACAGCAAAGCTCCTGTGAAATACAGGACCCTGCTGCAAGGAGCTGGATAGGTTTGGATTTGAAAATGCTTAATTTCCTCTAAAACTTCCATTAACTTGGTAGGACAGCACCAAGAAAGTGGGAAGGAGGGTGCAAACCGGTGCGAATGCCAACTGCTCGCCACCAAGTTTCTCGGGAACGTGACACCCCCAGCAATCCGTTTTTATTTAGGTTTAGAAAACCCTTCAGATTAGCAGGTCGGCAGCGCGTGCATTCCTGGTGACCGCCGCCGTGCTGCACGGCCGTCGGCTCCGAGGGCTCAGCCCGAGTGGAAGGGGAACCGCGCCGGCTCCTGCAGCCCTCGCTGGGGTTAAAGGAAAGCCACGGCTGCGGCGCGAGCGTTGCTGTCCGCGCGCCCCCTGCTCAGGCATTCCTCTTGGTAACATGATCTTATTTCTGTCTGCTTTTAACAGATAGGCGAGGTTAAGTTATGTTAAACATGTTGTACTAAGTTTGATTCGCAATGCTTCAGTCTGGTTTTCTTCCTTGATTAGCTTTAATCAAACCCTCCACGTTACATGACCTTAATAAAGCTATTTTTCCTGACAAGTGAAGACTGTCTTAACAAGCAAAGCTCATCTGGCCTGAAACTAAAGCCAAGTCAGGATGGTGTTTTAGGTCCTCATTAAAGTCCACAGCATGAAGTAAGAGGGGAAATGATGAAATGGTGCTCCACCAAACCATCCCTCCTTTACATTTAATTAGAGGAATTATACGCAACCCAGTAGATGCCTTGGGAAGGCAATCACCATTGGGTTAATAAAGAGCCCGGCAGTATAAAAGGGGGCAGCTAAGGCTTTAGCGAGGAGTAAATTAACACCAGGAGCTGGACGGACTTTGGGATCAACTGGGAAAAAAACCCAAACGGTGTTAATATAAAAAGAAAGGAGCTGCTGAGCCACCCGGCCCTGGTCCGGGGCTGATGCACAGCGACCCTGACGTGCTTCGGAGGGAAAGCTTGGCATGTTTATTCTCCCTGCAGTCCTTTTCCTTCGGTTACTGCTGACTCACGCAGGTTGGGTGAAATATTGACGGCCGTGGCCGGCCAGGCGGCGAGGCGAGGAGGCGAAGGAAAAGCCCCGGCAGTGAGTGATGCCACGGGGCTTGGCAGTGGGTGAGGAAATCAGCCACATGCAGACAAAATGCGGTCAAGCAGCCGCCCCACACAGAGGATGTCCCTTGCACTCATTAGCATTGTGTTTGTAACAGAGCTTATCAAAAAACAGCCAACAGACATAATCTGTGGTTTACGCTTTCTTTCGTTCTCTCTCTTTTTTTTTTTTTACTCTTGTTTTCCTTTTTTTTTTTTTTTCTGAGGGTTTCTAAAGGATGTAATCCGCTCTGTTTTTATTGCCTTTGCCTCTGGACGTGCCGCAGCTCCAGCCAGCAGTTATTTCAGCGTCTCTAGCCTCCCTGTGAAGGTCTGCACTGCTGAGGGCTTGACTGCTACTAAATTGTAAACCGCAGTGCTGCCTTAACCCTTTTCCTCCTGCGCAGCTCCCCAAATTTTGGGTGTTGCAGGCTGTTTCCATTAGAGGAGAAACTGCTGACGGAGTGTGGCAGTGCTTCGGTGCAGACCTGCTTGTTTAGAAGGGCTGTGGAAAGCCTGGCTCCAGCAGCACAGCGGGAAGCAGCCTCGGTTGCTTTCAGCGGGGCCCCTTCCCCAACCTGAGCCCCCGGTGCTTTCTCCCAGCTGCACCGAAATGTATTTTTGCACTTTGAAGGCTCCTTTCTGCGCAGCCAGGAACCTTCCATCCACACAGCCCCTGCAGGCATTGCACCCAAAGCCTTCTGCTTTCCTCATCTCTGCTATTTCATCCTTAAAGTCCAAGTTTTCCTCTTGGAAACAGAAACTTCTTGCTCTGATAGTCTCAGAGCCCCCTTTTGAGCACAGTTGCATTTGCAAAGTGATTTCCTGGCCTGGGTACATCCCTCCCTTTCCTCCACATCTCCCTGTCTGCAGGGAGAAGCCAGAAACATTTGTCCGCCTGCAAGCTGCGAGCTGAAAGGAGGGCGCCGTCCTTCCCCACACCGGTCCCACTGAAAATCACTTCTTTGCTCGCTTGTCTACGATGATATTTGCAAATAATTTCCTAAAAAGGCAATCTAAAAATGGCACTGTTGTTACCCATATTTGTACACAGGCTCGTGTGCGACTGGATTCCTAGGGCTTGTCTACACAGGGACAATTGAAATTAATGTGAAATAACTTTAAAGTGGATTAGCTAAACTGCATTACGTCCTTGTGTAGACACTGTCATTTAGAAATAAAACTGCCTTAATTTGGTTTAGTTTAATTTGCTTTAGCAATTTAATAAAGACACTTTAAGTCTGAGTGAGGAGTTTACATAGGGATTTAATGCAGTTTAATTAATCCACTTTAAATTCACAATTTTAATTAATTAGGATGAACTTTCCTTAAGTGTTCCCCTGTCGAGATAGCGGTGCAGCATTTCCAGCCACCTGGCAAGATGACCTGACGATTCCTGACTCTAAAGAGCTGTTGCAATGATGCGTGATCGGTCCTGTCCCCAGAGTTTGGTACATAAAGAAAGTAGTTTCAAAGTCCTCCTGCTCTGGCCACTGCCGGGAAGTCCTTCTCTGCCCTAAATTACCTCTGGAGAGCCCAGGTTCACGCTGTAACGAGCCACCGTCCTCCCAAGTGCTCCAGGTTCTCGTGTTGCCCGCAAAACCAGAAGCAGAAGCATCTGTCTCATGTGAGAGGGAGTTGGGAAGACGTGTCCCGACACAGAAAGAGGCACAACAGCCTACTTCAGCTCTGCACACGCGGCGTCGTGCTTTGCTGACCACTGAAATGGTTTCAGTTTCTCACCCAACTTATGCAGTGGTTTTGTAATATTGGCAAACCCACAAAAACCCCCTTCCTGCGTAGGCGGAGCGAAGTCCTGCAAACCTGCATGCTTCTGGGGTGAGGCTGGCCAGGTCTGCAGAGCTGCTGTTGCCCTTATTTATTTATTTACCGGCAGCAGAAATTCCCTCTCTGCTCGTTGTGCAGATGACCTCTCCTTGAGACGCCGGCGTTGCTCCGAGTGCACATCCTCAGCTTTCCACTTCCCACAGCCCGTCAGCGAGCAGTGGGTTTCCTGCAGTGCTTTTTATTAAGGGGATTGCGCAAAAGTTTCTTTCCATGAACCGGAATGTGTCCTTGCTCGCCTCCCCCAGCCCCTCGCAGTCTCCTCGTGGCCCCACAGCTCCTTTGGGGTTTGCTTTCCAAGAGAACCCCTTTTGGGGCTGTGGTCTTCCACGTCCCTCCGACTGAGATTTCAGCCTTCCCTTACAGCAGGTTGTAGGGAATACACGGCGTGGTAGTGCTCGGAGCATCTGATTACTTATTCAGGGATTAAAATATATCAGAATGGTGAAATGCGATCCCCCCTGTGATATGCACTGCCTGGCAGCTAATCAGTAAATTGTAGTTAAACACAGGGCTCTGCAGAGCTGCGCTCGGTTCCTGAGGTCTCGTTTGGTAGGGAGGGCTTTAGGGGGAAGTAAGGGGCAATCAGTTGCAATTTGCCTTTATGGGGATGACAACTAAATGTGAGAGATTATTCACATCCCCATCTGCACGTTGCTCTCCAAAGGCCAGTGGAGAACAAGGCGCTGTTTCACGGGGTGCAGACGGGCAGTCCCTACCCCAAAAACCTCGCATCAGCTGGAGCAGACAGGGCGGAGAGCTACAGGTCCAGAGCCACGGGAGCACCAGGTTTGGGGAGCATCCAGGGAACTTTTTAGGAAGCTGTTAGCTAGTGGGAACGGTGAAGGAAACAAAGGGGCAGATGCGTGGGGCTGAAATACCCAGCGTGGAGAGTGAAAAGAAGCCCAGCGGGTGCTGATGGCAGGTTCGCGAACATCCCCAAACCCCTCCAGCCTCGTGGCAGGGGGAGCGGGGTGGCTGCCGGGTGCTCACCCACGAGCACAAAGCCGGGAGCATCCGCACCTCCCTCCTCGCCAGGGCGTTGGGCACAGCTCAGCCTCCGCTGTAAACATTAAAGTGCTTTTTTATGATTGCTCCACCGGTGCCAAAACCAGACACACGCTTGCTCGCCGCCTCGCGTCGTGCTCCCGTGCTGCCACGACCCAAAGTGACGTAATTTATTGAACGAGGGGTCTGCCACCAACTGCACGCTCAGGAGGGCCAATTTTTGTTAGAAATTTCTCTTCTGCAGCGTGTGGGTTTTATCCACGGCTAAAGGGAGGTGGGGAGGAGTGTTCCTTGGCTTTTCCACTTGGACGTGTCTAGGCTAAACAAAGCAGGGAAAGTTTTCTGTTGCTAAATGCCTGGTAATCGTGTGTTTATCCTAAATTTAGGGCTAGTCCATTTTCTCAGTCATGCAAGGGGAGAAGGGAGTTAAAACCAAACTGATGGCAAGTGTCTGGATAGAGACGGTCTTTCTAGCAGTCATAAAAAGATTGCCTTTGATAGGGATTTTGTTATTTCACTGTGGAAGTCATTACAAGGGGAGATCTCGTATCACTGTAAAGTTAGCCACTAGATTAGCGATTCATATATTTTATTGGTAAAAAATATGACAGGGGGATTATTGTGTGAGAACTTTGTGGAAAATAAAAGAGATAAAAGCAGTTTAACTGTCAGTACATTAAGGCTGTGGTTAGCTCTGCATAGTGTTACGGGATGGAAGGAGACCGGGGCTCTGAGGACTGGCGCTGTTCGTTTCAGATGGTCGCGTACCGCGGGAGGGGTTGGCCAAAGTAAGGAGCCCAGGTAGCTCAAAGAGGAGACAGCAATTAAAGATGAAGAAGATTTCCTCCAGGTTGGTTTGGCCAAAGTGATGGAGACCCCAAGGCACGCCAGCAAAGGGGCAGCTTGTCCCTGTGTCCATGCAGAGGTCCCCATCCAGCTGAGCTTTTGGCAACGTGAATGAATGCGGTGATGGCACTCATGTTTGTGTAGCCTTCCCTGCACACCTCCTCTTTTATTTTCACCTCCGTTTATTTTTATTTTTTTTTTTTTTCATTTGCCCACATTTTTGGCTGCAGACGTTCAGAAGTCCTGGACAAATGGCTGCGGTAAACACACAAATTGGTTGCACAGCGAGCGTGCAGGGAGCACGCACCGGGCTGGCCGCAGCCGCGCGCACCGCGCATCCATCTGCGCAGCACATGTGCGCGGGGGCTGAGGCACCCAGCTGGCTCCTGGGCTGGAGATGGAGCCCGGCCACAGCAGCTTTAAACAGGACAGGAGATTGTCACGTGAAGGCCCCTTCTCCAAGGGACCCTGCTCTGGCCATGGCAGAGGCTCGAGGCTTGTCCGCTTGGCCATGACAATGGGAAGGTAAGTGGGACGTAGACAAAGGCCGTGGGATGGAGGCTCTGCTTTGGGTTTCGCTTGGGTGGAGTGCAGAGTGGGAAATGTGATTTAGGAGAGCACTTGGTTTGGAGAGCTTGAGAGGCATGTTTGGTCCGTGCTCTTCAGCACGGCGCTGAGCTACTGCCTATAGAAAATACAGACGCTGTATTGAACAGATGTCTTCATCGCTGGCTACACGCTAATGGAAATCTGTGTTGTCACTGTCACCAGCAGTGCAGGATTATATTCTTAACGTGTAGCTTCCTTTACGTGAAATCAAGCTACACAGCACCAAAAACTTCGACAATACTTGGCTTAGAGTCAGACTTTACAGTGTTCCCATCCAGCCGGACTCCTCCTAAGTGCAACTCCAAAGTCCTGTTGTGTTTCGCGGGCTGCACTGTTAGAGTTTGCAGGTTTGGACACTTCATGTCTTGATCCATCCTGCTTTGCATGCCAGAGTGTTTTCATTAGCACAGCATTCATGCATGTGAGATTGTCGCTAACTGATATAATTAACCAGTGTGTCAAAGGCTATTTGTTTATTGCACATGCAACGGCTTTTCTGTAGTAAGAAACCCTTTCTGCTGACACAGTGCGAATGGGAACATGCTAAACTGGAGGAATAGCCCCGAGCTGGATGTGGAAGTTATGAACAATGATTGTACTTAAGAAAAGAGAAAACAGTGCCATGGATTTCAATGGGTTTGACTTAAGGTGATTGGTGTCTGAAGAAAGGAAGAAGGGGATGAAGAAAAAAGAGTTTGTCAGATAATTTCCCCCAACCCGTGATTATTGTTATTTCCTATAAAGTAAGCTGATCTTTGGTGATCAGGGAAGCCAGATGATGACTAAAAATAAATCTACTGCGGGGCAGAAACTGTTAGCATCCTTTCTGGAGGCAGCGATAAGGCGCTTGCTCCCCAGCCTTTAAATCAGCCTGTCCTTTGTGATCCCTGTTTCCTTCCCACTTCTTTGCTCTTTTTAGCTCCCAAGAATAATGCTATTCAGGAACACAAATGTCTTCTGTGTCAGGTGCCTTCACTATGAACTCTTTGGGCCTGCTGTATATCACGTCTCTGCCCTCATTTTGGACATCTGCACAGCTTTTAAGGGATCTTTTCAGAAAATCTTTCTTTTTAGTTATTTATAAATAAATATTGCTGGGGTGGTCCTCACAGCAGGACTCGGCGGTTCCTACACTGTGAAGTGTGGACCGTAGTGTCCATGTTTTAAGTACTAAAATGTGTATTTTGTAATGAAAAGATGGGGAGGCACATTTGTGAAGGTCTGCAGGAAGTTCTGGGGGTTGACACTGGTTTGTGTCCCAACAAACCCGCCAGCTGCTGCAGAGAAACCCAAATGTATGCCTTAGCTCAGTAAATATCAAAACCTCTTATCCCAAAATCCCCGTTTAGGCTTCCTCTTCTCTCAAATCAGCTGCTTCTGCTCCCACAACTTCAGCTCTGGTGATGCCCAGCCCATTGCTCCTGTCCTGCCCTGCCTCCCTCCATTCAATCCCATGGCTCAGTGCCTTTCCGTAGCTTCTTCTCCAGAAGCAGTTAAACCATCAGCATTATTTCACACCATCAAAACTGACTTTTTTTTTGCTTCCTCCTCTTCCCATCACTGTTTCTCCTTCCTCCTGTAGCTGGAACCACTGCCAACTGATGGCCAAAACCTGGGCTCCATCTTCAACTCCTTGTTCCGCAAACGTGCAAACAATTTGTACCTCCCCGTCTCTCTCTTGCCTTGCCCATCCCTCAACATATGATTGCTCTTTTTCACTCGTCCCGGCTGCTACAAAGCTGTAAATTCTGTGGCCTGGATTTTCTCAATCTCTTCCATCCAGGCCATCCAAAGCTCTCTAACATAGATACCCGATTTTATCCCTGGCCTTTGACCCTGGCTATGCCATCCCATGGTTTGGATCCATTCGTTTACTTCTTGCTCCATTGAAGTGTCTCGTCTCTGACCCCCAGACACATTCTCCCTTAGCACTTGTACATCTCCTTTTGCCCCCTCTCCCTTTCTCATCCACCCTCCGTTGCCCCTCGATCACGAATCTGTGTCCTCCTCACCCACCACCTCCCCTGGCCCCATCTGGTCCTTTCTGTCCTAGTGCAGTCTTGTGGTGTTCACCTCCTGGGTGTCCTCAGGCCACAGGGCTCGGCCGTGACACCACACGCTCCTCATGAAGAAAAACCACATTCACTGCGTGTCTGTGTGTTCCTTCCCTCTTAACTTTTCACCTGCTCCCTCTTAGCACTTTGTTGTTGTCTTTGGCTTATCTCTCACGGTAATCTCTGCAGGGCACAGTGGTCTGTGTGTTCCTATAATTCATACCGTGCCTGGTGCAACGCAGCCTTTATGCTGTTGGGTATATGGGAACATTTCTAATGCAAACAACTCATAGCTAGGAAGGGAGTTAAAAAATTAGAAAGGACTCCAAACCCATGTCACATATTCTCTTGCAAGGAATGGGGAAAAAAATTGTTTATTCTGGCCCCAAATTTTAATCACCCAAGGGCTGTTAAGATAAAAATAGTCAGTTCTGCCTTCTGTTTATGGTATACTTGGTTGAGTGCAAGCCAATTTTGAAGCTGAACATACTGTCTGCTATTTTTGCTTGATTTTAGATTCCACATTTTAAATAGTTTCTTTAACAAGAAGCATATTTTCACTGATACAAACTTAGCTTGAGGAGAAGCATCCTGAAGTTCTAGCCATATTGAAGATCAGTGAAATGTAGTAAACTCTGGTTTTAAGGGTTTTGTTTTCTCCAAGAGCTGAAATGAAGAGTGTGTTCTGGCAACAAGTGCTGGCACGTTGTTCATTAAAAGCTCTCTTCCGAGCTTTGGTTCCCACACACATGTGCCCTCATTCTTCAGCGGAGCTTCCAGGCAAGGGCATTGGCAGTGCTCGAGTCTGATCTTCAGCCATACAATTTGTCTTAATTGTCTACTAGCATCTAGGCAAGACTTAGCTCACGGGTGGCCACAGCAAGGGGCCACATGCAAACCGATGAGCTTCTTAATGTGGCCTGCCCGGCAATCGGATGATTTAATTATCTGTGCCCGTCGTAGGCTGCCTGGCTGCTCCCCGTCCCGCCTGCCCTCAGGCACGGCGGGCTTAACCACATGCAGCCATGGGGGCAGCTGCATTTGATCTTCCTCGCCAACGCGAGGGTCCGGCCCTGACAACAGCCTCTCTGTTCGGTGCTTTCTTTCCCCTTCTTTCTTTTCCGCTTCGTTTGGCACCGTGCCCCCAGAATCATTTGTGTGTAGGGGAGGATGAGAGAGCTGGATGGCAAAAACTTCGAACATGGAGTTGGGTGTTGACAATCCCGATGATTAATTGATCCTCCGAGGATCCAAGATGATTTGCTGAAGCATCAATAATAGAAATCCTGTCATTATCCACTATTTACTCGGTCTTTCTGCGGGAAGACATCCTGTCTCAGTGTGTCTGCATCACGCACGCCTCACACGGGGCCGCCTGCCATTCGGGGGGCACGAGGGCCGGCCTGTCGCCTGCAGACCTCCTTTGGCCACTCGGTGAAAGCTCCTGGAGCTTCTGGAGAACAGCTCGATCCCCTGTAACCAGCATGAGGCAGCGAGGTTGGGCCTGGGCACGGGGACGGGCCTGGACACGGGGACGTTTCACTGCTGATGGCACTGAGCAGAGCTGGGCACGGGGCCTGCTCACTGTAGCACCTGCTGCTCCGAGCGCGTGTCAGGTGAGGTGAGAGAGAAGCAGCAGGAGCAGGAGACCTTGTGCCCGGGGCAGAGATCAGGGGTGTCTCCGAGCGTGACCTCTTGCCGTCCTGATCTCCTCTTATCTGCCCCGGTCAAGCGCAGCTCCTTGCCTGTCTGTACCTGTGGAGCAGGCTTGGCTGAGAGACGGGACAGGCCGACCCGAGCTGTGCCACAGGCTTTTTCCCGTGTCACTCTGTGAGCTGGAGAAAGGAGAAGCTTCCTGGCAGTCATTGTTCCTTTGTTGAAGCGTGTGTCTTGCTCGTGTCCAGGGAGGTGTCTGCTGAACGGCCTCTGAAGTGTTTGTGCTCTCCTTAAATGTGCTCAGGATGAGGCTGGAAAGTGCTGTGAGGCTCTTCATGTAAGCACCTCCAACAGTTTGGGGAACCTCAAATAATCCTTCCCACTTCCAGTCTATAGCACAATCTTTGTCTCACCCCTCTCCTAAACCTCTGACTCTCCAAATATGTGGTTTCACTGCTGTGGGTGCCCTAGACATGTTCGGGTAGGGCGAGGTGGGTGAGCTGTGTCTGGCAGCACAGCGCTCACCAGGTGGAGTGCAGTTACACAGCTCTACCCCAGTTTTACCCAGGGATTTTGTGGTGTTTTTTATCTGTGGTAAATGTAGGGGGTCACCTGTTTTCAGGTGGTGTAATGCTAATGCTGGGCCAAGACAGACTGTGCTTTGGGTAGGTCGCACATATCAGGACATGCTGGTAGAAGGTAAAGTCTTCAGCATTACACCTTAGGAAGCACTCGTGCTTCTCTCTGCATTTTGCTCTTTTCACAACGATGCTGGGAGTGATGAAGGTATTCCCTGGAGTCAGGAAA